TAATAATAATAATAATAATAATAATAATAATAATAATAATAATAATATAATGATAATGATAATATAATGATTAATAAAAGAAGCTAAACATATTAAAAATTCACGGTATATTCACAGTAAAAGGAAAAGTTAATCAGTCCATATACCAGCTGCTCAGTAAACATCAAAACACTAATAGCTAGCAAAAGAAAAGGCAAAAGCAAAAGAAAATTCCTATTTTGGTTCAATCTTCTCTCCTCAAAAGTTGAAGTCGTCACAGAAAATGAAAAAAGGTAAATAGAATAGAATAGAATAGAATAGAATAGAATAGAATAGAATAGAATAGAATTCTTTATTGGCCAAGTGTAATTGGACACACAAGGAATTTGTCTTCGTGCAAATACTCTCAGTATACATAAAAGAAAAGATACATTCGTCAAGAGTGAAGGGCTAGGACCGAAGACTAAAATAGAGTATAAGCATCATAAGGATATTTCAGAGTTCCATGAGGATCAATCAGTCCTGGAGTTCTCCATTCTTAAATATTTTCCTGAATAATTGCTACACAATTGTTTCACATTTCTATGGTTTCCTTTTCCTATACAATCAATTTATCAAACAATTAAAATTTGCCAGACATACTAACAAAAGCAAAAACATTTATCTTTGAATGTCCAATTCCATTTGGTAGATGGCTATGATGAATACAGAACTTACACTTTAGACACATCACTGCCGGGAGGGAGGATAGTGCAATTCCTATTCTACTTCCTTAGGGTGCGGCTCCCCACTCCCTCCACCGAAAGGGTGGAAAACTATGCATTAAAATATGTGGAGGTGAGTATTATGTCAAGAAAAAACAGTTCTCTGGGCTCCTGGAGGCCGCCTGGGTTGTCAGAGATAATAGGCATTTATCATTTCAGCTGTCTGGCAGTTCTGATAGACTGGAAAGGCAAGAGAGAGGGGGGGGGCAGAGGGAAGGAGAGAGAGAGTGTGTGTGTGTGTGTGCACATTTTTATATATGTACAGCAGAGAATTTCTGATCATCATAGTTCCCTTCTGTTACCATATGCTGAGCGGAAGGAACTTTATCTCTTCCATCACCGAAGCCTGCTCCATGCATGCAGCAAGCATAGATTAACTGTTTCAGACTGTGGGGCAATTTTAATGTGTCTTGCATTAACAAATACTTCCCATTATAATATGAAAGAAATGGGCTAGAGCGTCTCTCCATAATGTTTCACTTCCCTATTTGCACAGTGGTCTTGTGCAAAGAAGCCATGCAAAAAAAATGATGCCCTCCATGCACAGACTGAAGGGTGCAATCCACATGGATACCTCAGCATTCCCCCCAGGTCATTTGCTACAACTGCAGATCCAGCTCAAATGTCCATGGAGAGGAGGCCCTGGTTTTCATGGGAAAATGTGCCAGCATTCAACACTTTCCAGCCCATTTGCGTTGCTGAATCAGGCTGCAGAGACTGAAGTGTTTTTTTTTTTGAGGCACTTTTGATGGGCAACATTTTGGAAGCAAAGGAATGCTCCCAAAATTTTACATGGAATAGGAGAGGAGACCATAATCATGGGGTAAATAATACAAGAAGCCACATTACACATGTAGAGAAAGCTAGGAGTTTTGTAGATTTAGAAATCACTGTTAACTTGTATAATGTTGTATAATTGATGTTGTAATTAGCAATAGCACTTTAAATAACGGTATATACTGCTTCACAGTGCTTTACAGCCCTCTCTAAGTGGTTTACAGAGTAAGCCAATTGCCCCCAACAATCTAGATCCTCATTTTACCCACCTCGGAAGGAAGGAAGGCTGAGTCAACCTTGAGCCTGGTGGGATTTGAAATGATGAACTGCTGGCAGCTAGCAGTCAGCAGAAGTAGCCTGCAATACTGCATTCTAACCACTGCACCACCACGACTCATGCACTTCCAGCATTTCCTACTTGAAAATGCATAAGCCTGAAAATGGTGGAAACCTGTTATTATTATTATTATTATTATTATTATTATTATTATTATTATTATT